TTCCTTTTTCCTTTCCAGCAAACGGTTTTCTTCTCTTTCCCTATCTCCTTCGTCATTAGATGTAACAGCTCCCTATACTCCCAGTCCTTGCCTGGTATTTCGCCTACTTCTTTCTCTGCATTCATGATCATCATGGTATAGCGCCCGCGGCGACAAGCCTTGGTAGCGGTGAGGGAGAAATAAGCAGTGCTCTTCTGCGAGTGGCGGTTGCCGCGAACTGTTGTCTCTAGCGTGTGTTCCCGGTGCGTGGCACCGCGGGTTGCGCGTCGGGGGCCCACGTGGTAAGCCAAGCGTTGGCGACGCCTCCTTGGGTGTGTTAATGTGTTTATATAATGTTTTGGAGTGTATGGTAATATTGTGTACGGATGTCCTAGCGTGTTGATCACGATTTATGTTAAAATATTTCGGCGGACGATATCGTCGTTCTAAATTAGTTAAATAAATGTGTGCATCTTTTGGTTTGTTTCGACCGTGTCTACTGTGTCCTTTCACTCCGAGAGCTTGGTGGCGATTACCACCTCTAGACCCCACTGGCAGTAAGCTCCTTTAGTGAATTCATTCTATGGCTACTAATAAAAGTGATGCAGGGTTCCTTTGAGGTTGAGGTTTGCCTGTGTAGTAGGTAGAAAATTATCCTTCTAACGAACCGGCACGAGCTCTCTTCGACCACTTCATCTGTCATTTTTTTTCCTCTGCTGTGGGAGAGAAAACGAGTGCTGAGAGAGAGAAGGAGAAAGAGGAAACGAAACTTGGCAAAAGAAAATTGCTTGGCGAGGCGAGAATTGTGCTAGCGTATACCCACGATCCGAAGGAAGCATCACAACAGCTCGGCTATCCCGGCACGCCAGCAGAACATGCATAGCCTTGTACGGTGTAGTACGCCAAGGCGGTGGGAAAGGAAATCGAGGGTGAGGATATATAGTAAAGAAAGAGAAATGCAGAGAAAGAAAGGGAAGACGAAAATAGAAAGATAGGAGAAAAAGAAAGTGGAAGCGATAAATAGAGAGAGAAAAAAATGCGAAGAACGAGAAATGGAAATAGAGTGTGAGAAAGAGAAATAAACACGGAAAAGAAAAAAAGAGGGCAAGCACAGCGATATATAGTATAGCAAAGCAAGGGGTGGGATAGAGATGCCATCGGGTAAAATCTTAGGCAAGCCGGGATCAGCTGAGTGCCTACCAATTCTGCTGTGACCTAGCTTCCGGTGACTCAGCACTAGCAGCGCTACTTTTTTTTAGCAGAAGGTGAGCCTCCTAAAGCCTATACAAATGTTGTATTTTCCTCTTTCTGAAACTTTCATCCCATATCAATAAATTTGATTGGGGCCCCATTTTTTACCAAAAAGGGCAAAAACGTAAGCCCACCATCATCAGCAAACTTGTCTTTCATGGTACTTCAAGCAGTTATGCAAGCAACGAGGCTCAAGCCCATATACAGTAAAACCTCGTTAATTCAAACTTGGTTATTTCGAAATCCCGCTTAATTCGAAGGATTTCTGCAGTCCCGTATTTTCCAATGTAAGTTTGCGGGGCCGGCACCAGTCCGGTTAACTTGAAAACTTTGGGTGCCACGTGCCAGATACCGATTTCGCCGTGAATCCGCGGAAACGACGGCCATTAATTGCCACAAGGCAACGCAACGTATCTATACTAATGAGTGGCGGCTGAAGCACACCAGTCTCGCTACTTCTAGCGCAAAAAAAAGGAAGAAGAAAAAACGGTCTTGTGATCAACCAAAACGTGCGCCTGCGGAAACGAGCCGTGCTTCACTGCAACACAGTGGTGACACGCGGCAGCTTATTGCATGTTTCTCGCAACGTCAGCGGGTCATGGTTTGCCCATTCTTTCTGGAATTGTAAGAAAAAATTAATGAAAAACAGTTTCGCGGAAATTGCGATGTATGCGAACCTCCAATTGCCGGTTGCTCCAGCTATTCGCGTCTTTGCACTGCTGGTGGAGTTCTTGCCAGCAACGCCTACTTCGAAGACTAAGCTCGAAAGTTTCAAAAATCTTTATTTTTTCAGCCAACATACATCGTGAGCTTCGTCATACGGGTCATTATTAAATTCATAATTATAATAGAAACAATGTGCGAATGGTCGCATCATGCCGTGCTGACGCAGTGAGGAGCAGGCCACATGCTGCTTGCGTGTCACCACTGTGTTGCAGTAAAGATGTCGTTTTCTGCAGGCGCACATTTCAGTCGTTCACGACCACGTTTTATTTTTATTTTTTTCGGTGGCAGCAGCGAAGTACATTGTTCCTCCATGTTCGCGGCAAAATCGATACCAGATATTGCTGGAAAACATGAGCTTTGGAGCCGCAAGCTAGCCGGCACAGCAAACGACGAACACCGACTGCTTTAATAGTTCCAAGTTCCTTGCATCCCACTTTTTGTATGCTCTGTTAATTCGAAAACCCGCTTAATTCGAAGCTTTCTCGCATCCCCAGTGACTTCGAATTAACAAGGTTTTACTGTACTTTACTTTTTTATCATTGCCTACATTCCCATTTCTTCCTATAAAAATATTTAAAAACTTCTTCCTCCTCTTGGGAGCCAAATTCATTAAGTTTTCATAGTTGCGCTCATCTATGTCTACTTTATAGCATGAATGCTATTTCTTGGAAGAAGTCATAGCTCATAGTGGATGTACTTGAAAGCAATGACACAGCAAAGCACACATGCACTTATGGAAGCCCCCAATAGCAAATTATTCTGATTAAAAACTCCGCGGTGCCACATTTTGCCTTTTTTTTTTGTTTAGGCAACACAGAACTTATTATACAAATGCTATGAGAGTTAGGTACCAGTATTTCTAGCACATGAACTCTACGTCGAGACAGAAATGATTTGCAGCTGCTAAACATTCACCGTACTTACTGTACAAACACTTTTAAAGACGATAGTCTTTCTGGGGACCTTCAACGCAAAAACTTTATATGCCTGTCTGTACATTTGTCTGTTTGTCCACTCTTAGCGGCACTGGGTACTTGAAACGGCCGACACCATCCACAGTGCCCACCAATGTTGCTCAAGATTTAGCGTTCATACTTGTGCAATTGTCAATTAAAAAGCAATTATTGCACATGTCTGGGGCATCATAACAACACGTATTCTGCATGAGCGTCTTTTACTAGAAAAGGCATACATAAGTAATTTCAAGGACCGTAGCACTTATCACGTTGCGCTGACCATGCAATGCTTGCACGAAAGACGAGTGTTTCCACGGCTTTGCTAAAACAGATGGTGATGCCACCTACACCCCGTTGCCTTGCGTTCTAAACCTTATCACCCCTGAGACAGACGCACACACCCGTCTCACAGCCACACGCTGTTTTCCAAGAAAACTGCCAGATGGCGCTCATGTCTCACGTGTGACGTGACTTGATGCGCTCGTTCGCCTCCGCTGCACGCTCGAGGCACTCCAATGCAGAGCCTTCAGAATACCATTCACCGATTTTCTTGCACAGAACATCAAATGTTTTCTTCACTCTCTCTACATGCAAGACTATCGTCTTTCGACGACATTTGCAGATTACATGCAAGATACGGGGCCAATTTTTAAAGTTATGTTTCATCATACACTTGAAGGCATGCCCACTTTTAGAAATTAGAGAAATTATGGATAATTTGAAATATTCATCACAAGCTCAAAGCCCCGATATTAAAACTGAGCACACTAGACGCACATGAAAATGCAAGTTCTGTCGCATCAGGCTTCACGGTTTCTCAAACACAAACGAAGTGGTTTGATCCCATCTGACGGCATGTGCATTATTTTGCGGAGAGGGAAATAGAAAAAGCCTCATTAACAATAAAAAAATAAATATTCATGACAAAATGTTACGCAGCTTAGTGGTGTCAAGCCTGAAAAATACACAGAGCTTGGCAGCCTACTTCGGTTCCCAATATTTAGCTTGCCTCTTCCACTTTTTTTCCTCTACTTTTTAAATCTTTTTTTCCCTTGTGAATTCCCTCTTTTACTCTATCTTTCATTGATTTGCTATCTGTGTTGCTCACTTAATGTTTTTTACACCTTTCCCGTGCGTGTAGTTGCTTCTGCCTTTTCTGTCTTTCTCACTTCCGCTCTCTGTGCTCGTTTTCTTGCCCATCAGAGTCCATCGCGTCTCACACCGAACCAATCGGCACGCTTTCTGGAAGCGAAGCAGGTGATAATGAAGTAGTTTGAAAAGGGTGCGGGTCAATTCACGGTGATAGTTTTCTGTTCACTCTGCATGGACTAACGGTCGGCTTAAATAGCGCCACTATTTAAATCGAGCCATCCGCAATTAACCAACACACAGTGGACATCCTGTTGAGGCTTAGTCTAAAAAAGAAACTGTAATGACAGCATGGAGCACATTTTCATTTTTTTTACCTGCTGATGTACTATTTGCATGAACTCGGGACCATCCAGAGGACTTTAAACGCGGCATTGAGGCTCGGCCTACCTGTCCCGACTTGGAAGCGGCCCGCTACTCTAGTGCCCCGAGGAATTGTGTTCCTCGGGATCTCGAAGTCTGTCTGTGTCTGCCGGCTGGTGTCTTGTTGCATGTGATCTGGATGACTGCTGCCAGCTGAAAAGCATTGGACGCATTGTTTGAAGGTCTAGGACTGATTTCTTTACATTTAATTTGTATTGTAATAACTACATTAGAGTTAAAGACTGCAATAATGCCTCCATACTTTCCTTGGCTTGTTCGTGGTTTTATTAGCTTGTCCTGAGCTGAAGTGATCTGTTGGATGATTCTTTTTTTTTTTTCATTCATGCATGTTGTCTATCGGAAAACCTCAAGTCTATTACCTGAAATATTAAGCAAAAATTAATAAAGAATTTGCAACTGATCGATTGCACATGCTTTTGTACTCGTCTTGGTACTTGTCCACAATGGAGCATATAGTACGTAGTATCAATGAAGGCCACATTCCTATAGCTTGCATGGCTTATTATTAATATTGGTGAAATTATAAGCTTAGTTATGACAAAATGAACACACTAGTACTTAGGCAACATTTATTCCACTGTTTCAGACATGAATTTTTATGCACATACCAGTTTATTGTTCACAGACATTTCTTTTTCAACATTATGTACAGTTTCTTGCAACTTACAACAAATAATTTAACAGTGAAGGCTTTTAGAATGGGACTAAACATTTACAAATAAAATGTTCATCTAGACAAACACGCATGTACAGTGCCACATGTCACAATACACACAACACGGAGACAAAAGAAGTCGCCCTTCAAAAATAAATAGGCAAATGCTACAGTCACAGCACAAGTTAAAATTATGTGCAGGAACTGTTCCGTCATCCATATTTTGAAAACTCCTAGTGGCTGTATCGGGGGGGAAAAATGCCAGGCATGAAAGGCCCAGTATACATGGTGTGAAAGATGAAAAGCATATATGTATGTATGTGTATATATATATACAGAAATATAGGTCAAAACAATGAAACAACAAGAGAGTACAACCCTTTTGCAGCTTCAAATGTATGAAGCTGCAAAAGCAACAGAAAGAAATATTTACATAGAAAAGCACATAAGCCCTATCGCAATGTAAGCAAGTTACATTACCTAAAGTGTTCCTATTTCCTGACCAACTGTCTGACCATCTCTATCACAAAAAAAAAAAAAAAAAAAAAATTCCTTAGTGGCAGACCCAGGACTGAGACATCAGATTAAACTTCAATATTTAAACATCAGCATTGAAAAGCCACCGTATACGCCGAAACAGGCATAAAATGAAGCAGTCATTGAGGCTCCATAAGAAGTATGTGGCCTAAGCTGTGCAAAAGAAGTGTAGAAATGACCAATTTTTAAAATAAATACGTGACATGCAATCCACAGCGATATTGTTCAAAATAGATCACCAGCCTCAGCAATAACCTTCATGAACAAGAAAAAAAAAAGAGAAAATAGATTTACAGTAACAAGAAGAAAAAAACAACACAGGGAGGGGGGCTCTAACACATGAGGTTGCACAAATAAACAGCTGTTCATGCAAATCATCATGCTGATTTGCATAAAAAATTTGAATCAGCATTCTTTTGTGCCCAGCCTTCGTTATAAGCTATTTATTTGAACTTAACAATTGATATATGGACATATTTTGATGTGATAGTGATGTCATCTAAAAAAAAGCTCTTTTCTCTAGCAGAGTACAAATTGACAATCAGCGGAATATAACGACTTCCTTCATTCTGATTCTACAATGATATACGTATAGCAATTAACTTTTTAATCAGCCACAAATGATAAGCCCTGTTAGGCAGTGGTGCTGGTAATAGTCCCCAGTCAACACACTTTTTATTTCATCAAAAGAGAGGCAGACAATTTTGGCAGGGTAACATTAATCCAGCGGAGCCTAATGGCATCATAAGGCATTTGCAGCCATTTGGAGTTATTTATGCACTTCAACTCTACGGTGACTATGTAGTGCTGATACATGTATTCACTTGGCAACAACTACCACATGCAATTTCGAGGAAGAGTCAACATCAGCCAAATGTTTCCCTTTTAGCATTTTTCATTTCAGCTACTCAGAAGCCCTCAATCTGCACTAATTTGCATACACTACAAAAACAATTCAAACGAATGCAGTCTTTAATGTTCAAGATATCAGGTCCTCTAATGTACGCGAGCGAAAAGTAACCTAGCTCGTATTAAAACATCGATTATGGCAGATGTACCAAATACCCTGCCAATAAGAGTACCAGACAAACGTGACTCTTCCAGCTGAACCGCTTCTGGTTAACGCTCAGAGGTGGCACCTGACTTTCACTGCATTCGAATTGACACATCTTCATTTTTAATGACTACAGAAGATGCATACATTTATTTTTTATCATTTACGCATCTTTTTTTATTCTTGACATAAAACAGATACCACATTCAGATCGGCTACTATGCACACTGCATGAATTGGCAAATACATGAACACTGAAAAGCCAAAAGCCTGGCTGGAAGAGTCATGTATACTTGGCACTCTAGTTTACACGCAAGACCGTATATAGTATTACTGATTTCAAAGAGGTGTCAAAGGTCTATCCTATATGAAATCAGCATTTTCTTTTATATTGGTCCGCAAGATAAATGACTGCTGTGGATATCTTCATGCTTGATTCAGCCAAATTGCTGACAGCATTTTTGAATTTGAACAACATTTCTTGAAACTTGGTATGATGCTCGATCCCCTTAGAGAAACCACATGGGGCCTAGTAAGTGCTGTCAAAATCCACAAGGCAAATTGGTGCAGGAACTTCCATTTGGCGTTATCACTTGCATTTTGTCTTTTTACGTTTTCTCACTTAGCAAGCACTTGCTCATAGAAAGAGTTATACTTTTGATATTGTGAAAATGGTATAATTTACTAACATGAGTATGAGAAACATCCTTTTTTTTTATTGTCTCTCTAACCCCTTCCACAAGACAGAGTTCCACAGATATTTTCACATTCCTAATTCTGGCCCATATTCAAATCTTTGTGTCCTTGACTGAAAAATAAATTTAGAGAGCTAAGTGTCACTATAAAATATTGACTGAAAAATAAATTTAGAGAACTAAGTGTCACTATAAAATATTAAGGCAACCTGGAACCTATCACAAGCTATTTCAACGGTGTATTGGTACCAGTGACAGCGATAAATTTTATGGCCAGATTTCTTCAACACTTTTTGAGAAAGTTGTGAAAAGCATGCTTGAAAAGCACAAAGCATGATGATGTGCGTAATGAATAAAAGCAAGTAGACACATGAACAGCACATTATACTGCTTGTCACTGGCTATCTTCAAGTAAGCTGTCCAAGTTATTTGGTCTTACATTTCAAATATTGAAAACATATTCCAATAGGCAGGTCTGACGTTCTGAATAATGATAAGTGGCTGAATGACAGCACGCAGTGCCATGTTGTGCACTACGCATTGTACGCGATTGTTGCAAGCTCCCACACAAGTGTGTGTTGTATCCTAATTTACTTTTTTTTTAATATTTACCATCATGCTCCCTTTATGTGTAATTTTCTTAGCATTTGTCTTGCAAATTCTCCCTCCCTTATTTATTATTTCACCCTGTGTCTTGTTCATGATTGCATGACAATTCTGGGACTATTCAAGTGACTTAGTCAGAAGTGACTTTGACACAATACACGTGACCTTTCCTCTTTGACCAAGGGTCTTTTCTGCTACTTCAATATTACCCCTTCTACAGACATAAAATTGAAAAAAGGTCAACTTTTATTCTCTTTTTGCCAATGGAGCCTCTTTTCAATCAAGCCTCTTTCCACCACATGCACATTGAGTGTTTCAGAAGACTGCTCCACCAGTGTAGGCCCACTGTGTGCTCTATTTTTCTAAATTATTCTCCAAGTGTTTTCTTAATGGCCACGCTATACATATCATAGAAATTAATTTTCTAGTGCATTTATAAGCCAACTAACAAGCATGTCAGTTGGGTCATTTCATTCATACTGACTGCAGAATCCGTAAGTAGCACAAAGCTGTTCACAACAAATCCCCCATATCCATTACAGCACAATATTTAGTGACACCGAGTTATTCATACTAAAATGGCAGCACACTAACACACACACAAGGTAAAGAAGGACGAAAAGAACAGCACCAAAGTCAATTTCTCTGTTTACCTTGTTTTCCATGTTTGTGTGTAAGCATTGCCAATCCGACATCAAGTGCAACTAACTAGCCCAAGCCTTCTACCAAGATGTTCCTAGCGGCTGCCTCATACAGCTATGCAACTAAAACAGAGTAAAAGTGAGTTACACCTTACAAGTAACAGGAAGGCTGACTACAGAACAGCATAACTGAATTCATGACGACAGGCACAGTTGTGGCTCTAGCCACAGAAACAGCCAGTGGGAAGTGGAAGGGGCTTAAGAGAAACACTGAGTGTTCATACCGAGCCTACAAGCCGAGGGTTAGTACTGCAATCATAGGTGACAAAGCCAGACAGTCAGTAGGCAGGCACTTCTCATCTATGCACAATGTGATAGAGCCACAAAGCTTGATGTAGACTCGCTGATGCCTTTAACTGTCAGTGTTGCTCCAAGACGTTCCTCAGAACAAGCCTGTCAGGTTCGGTCACTCGAGCGTGACGAAGTGGTAAAAATAAACTTTAGAAGGGGATAGCTCACTGACACACTTCCACCTCCTCCCCATAATTGCACTGGCACACAAATAGTCGAAATTGTAAAGAGGGGGTTGACCCGTAGCTACGTGCAGCTCGAGCACTAGAACACTAGTGCACATCATGCCTTGAAATCCCACAAGATATCACTTCAAAGCCTTTAAAAGTTCATGATTGTGTTTGCATTTGCTTCATATAACACTTTTACTGAGGCCATTAACTAGATGTCACTAATATAAAAAAAGTTACAACTGTGGCTATCACTTGAATAGCAGCCACAACAGCAGCTCAGGGTGGCTCTGTATGTTGTTGGGCAGATGCTGCCAAAGCGTTAACCTTCACCATAGCTCACGGTTTGGCTGCCTTCATGAAGAACTCTGATTATAGCTGTCGCAAACCCTGCTGGCATGAGAGCTGCTATGTGCAATGGTGAGAGCCTTCAGTAGGGACCCGGGTGTTGGTATGCTGAATGTTGCTGTGGTGGTCCCTGTGGTTGTTGCTGCTGCTGGGGTGGCACCTGGCCGCTGCCTGAGAGCTGTCGCTGCAGCTGGGCCACAAGCGCTGCAGTCTGCTGATGCTGCTGTTGCTGCTGGTGTGGTGGCGGAGGCTGGTGTTGCTGCTGCTGCTGCTGCTTGAGGGCCATGAACTGCTGGTGGTGCATAGAGCTGGCCATCAAGCCAGCCGCGTTAGCTGCGGTCGCACCAGGCGCGCCCCCGCCGTAGCCGCCCCCGCCCGGGATCGGGCCCCCGGGGGCGCCCCGGCCCCACTCTGGGGGCCACCTCCACCGGGGCCACTGAGGTGGCCGGCCCCTGTTGAACCCACCATGGGGTTGCCAGGGTGGCCCCCTCCACCACCGGGTCCTCCTTGACCGAGGGTATACTGTGGCCTGCATGCCATCATGGCACCGTAGACAGGGCAGTGATCAGGCTGTGCTTGCAACTAACTCTTACTACTACACATCCTCTTTTAACAAAGTAGTGACCTGGCCTTTCTTTTACTTTCAATGTCACTTTTTTTTTACTTTTTCTAATGCAAATTTCAAGCCATCTATCTCACAAAAAACACAGTAGACCTGCGGTATACATTTTCACTCTGAATAGCTAGATAAATCACTAGGTAGTGACTGAACAATTGTGCTTGAGGGTACTGAACTGACCACACAGTTCTATGGGCCCAAAAGAGGATGTTTTTGGTCACATTAATAATGAGCTCTCTGATCTTCGTTGCTGCTGCACGTGAGCACAGCTGTCCTTGTATAAATTGACATCATCATAATGAGCCTTATCATCACTAGATTCCAAAGAGCTTACTTAATGAGTAATTGGCATTTCACCATTTCACAGCTAACAATTTTTGAAATGTCATTTAGCAAGCTACTTAACAGAATTTCTTGTGTAGAAAGAGCACCTTTTCAGGCTGGTGCTTCTTGGTAAATTATACAGCATGAAAAAAGCTTATTGCTGTTGGAACACACTAAATTTTAATCTAAAGTAATAAAAATGAAGAAATATATAATCAAAATGTGCAACAGTATGGCAGCACAGAAAAGCTATGCTTTTTGTATAAACTATACAATATCTATATTTTCAGAACAAGTGTTATTGATCACCTTTATTACAAAATAAGGAAAGCCTCTAATGGTTTTAACAGTACACGAGCAGGATAGTGAAAACGAGTGCTCTCCACAGCATTGGGCAAACCTTGCATGAATGTTTGACCACCACCTAATTGAACTAAAGAGCTAAAATTCTGCGAACACTTCAGTTGTTTTACTGCTGTTAATGACACAAGTTCACCCAGCATGTACCTGCTTCAAAACTGAACAGTATGACGAACATTGGCTAGCGATGCTCGCTGTATGAATTCTTTTTTGCAAGGTCCAATGAGTCGTGCAATTGACGACTTACCAGCATCAATGCTACTCAACGCCAATGATAATACAAATAGTCACCGATTGTAATCTGATAATAATCCATCAATAAGTGTTACTTCTAGTTTGCCACTGAATCTAGGCTCGTCGTAGTATAACATACTGGATTTTCTGACACGCTGATCTGTGTAAACAGTCTAGAAAAAGCTTTGATTGATTGATTTGTGGGGTTTAACGTCCCAAAACCACCATATGATTATGAGAGACGCCGTAGTGGAGGGCTAAGGAAATTTAGACCACCTGGTGTTCTTTAACGTGCACCCAAATCTGAGTATACGGGCCTACAACATTTCCGCCTCCATCGGAAATGCAGCCGCCACAGCCGGGATTCGATCCTGCGACCTGCGGGTCAGCAGCCGAGTACCTTAGCCACTAGACCACTGTGGCGGGGCGGTTTAGAAAAAGCAGTCCACTTTTAAGATAACCCAAATTAGCTAAATAACAAGTGGGCCATTTAGTGCAAACTTGGAGGCAGTAAATGTTCAAGAGGCTCATATCTGAGGCTAGCTATCTGCAGCAAGACAGCTCTAGGTCCTTGGTTAAGTTTACTTTATATATATATATATATATATATATATATATGTATATATATATATATATATATATATATATATATATATATATATATATATATATATATATCTTTTTGCCGGCTACTGTCACTTAGGAACCATGAAACAGATATGGAGAAGATATTAAAAGCTGCTTTTTTAGAACATGAGTCAATTATACTTTAGCAGTGCACCTATATAAGTTTTTCACAAACATCTAGCATACATACTTGAAAAGGAAGCTATGACGGGGCATAGCAAGGCGTGCACAAGCAGGCTCACAGTTAGTATTTGCCTTGTGGCACAAAATGCAAGCAAAGCTGGCCTTGTGAACAAGCATCAGGAGGCAGGTGAGTGAAGCTTCGTTTTCCACCGCAACAGTACAGGATTACAAGCTGACAAGCATGCGCTGCAGAGCAAGTAAGAGACACGTGAGAAGACCCATAGTTACAATGCCCAGACAAAGAACGAGCCACAGACAACAGATACACGACAGAAAAGCTGTTATGCAAAGCAACAGAAAAGCTATAATGCAAAGCAACAAAACAGAGACAGAAACATATAAAGAAAATGCACAAACACAAAATGATCAATTTTCAGAGGAACACATTATGCAGAAATAATTGAGTTAGACAAAGCATGGTTTAATGCTATATGCTTCAAAAAGTGATGCATAAAAATTGAACATCTAAATTGCAGGCCCATTTATGGCAGTTTCACATAAGAAATCAAATATATATATTTTTTCTCTGTACTGCAGTGATCACATATACAGAAGCGCAACAGCTGAAATAGGACTTGAAGCACTTTTGGAGCAGGAAAATCTCAATTTGGAATGGGTTTTAAGAAAAAGGAACTGTACCAGGACTGCATCAGCCCTGATGTGAGCCCGACAAACTTCTTCCTGTTCCCAAAGCTCAAGAGAAGCTTGAGAGGTCACCGTTTATACAGTGTTCCCGCAATCCAACGAGCTGTCCCAGAGTCCCTGAGAGGGGTCACAGCAGCTTACTTTCAGGGAGCATTTACAAAGTGGAAATCTTGTCATACTCAGTATATCAACACTGAAGAAAAGTATTTTGAAACTTTTGAATAATATGTACGAGCCGTATCAATAAATTCTTTGTTACCAGACCCCGCCTCATTACTTTACAGTCGGAACCTCTGTGACCTTGATTGCTGGGTGTCTGTGTTCACTTCCTATAAATATGTGCTTAGCTTACCCCATCAGTTACATTTCTCCCCATATATCCATACACATCGTGGCAGTTTCCCTGTGCCAAAATCATGACATGTGCTCGGGAATGCAATCAATATCAAGATAATGCAAGAGCGTAGAGATCATAAATAGAATTGCACTAAATTGCATAGCTTCTTTGAGCCCTTTACTTGCACTTCACAGTGCCGTATGCAAATGCTGTTGTTGCCACAGTTTTCAATGCTGACCACTGCTGCAAAGCTTTGCGATGTCTTTTGAGATCTCATCAATCGAACTATTTCACCTAGTATTTAGCTTAAACATTCCTTTCTTACCTGCAATTCTTGCATTCATTTTGAGTACTTTAAGGCATAACTGTCCAACTGGCAATAAAAGAAATACAAGCAATTCAGTATAAAATTTTGTTAACTAACTCCAGGAGTTGCCACTTAACATCAAGCAATATAAGAAAAGCAAGAAAGCGACTAGCAGCAGCATGCAGTCTACAGATGTTATTAAGTATTGAAAAAACAAGGTTTAAAAGATAAAATTTTCATAAATAGGTTAGTGTGCAGTAGCAAAGAGCCTCTACAGTGTATAAGGCAGCAACCATTCAGAGTAACAGCTTTCATACTACAGTTAAACCTGCTTATAACGAACCTCCATTTAACGAATTCCTGGATATAACTAAGTTTTTCTATTCCCCGCCGTCGCTCCATAGGAGCACATGTATTCGCGACCTCTATGTAACAAAGTAACTGCGGGAGACAACCTTGATATAACGAATTTTCCCCACGGACAAAATCTCGGAATTTTGCTTCGCATTTCGGCATTTCGGTACGAGCATGCATCTTCCACCGCTGCCCCGCCACCCCTTCGGCGGTGGCGGCGGGCCTGCACCTTACGAGCCGGCGCTGCCCCCTTTCTCACCGCAGCTGTCGCATGCGTGGGTGTGCCCCCCTCCCCCCTCCAAACCAAAATAATAATAAAAAACTACTTTTGGGCATTGGCAGTGCCACGCTTTTAGTTAGCGTCACATATGTGGGGCCGCGCTGCATATGGAGGGTGCTTTACCGAATAGATTCCGCGGTAACCGTGTCTGTGTCCGTGTCGTTCGCTCTTCGTTTTTCGTTTTCGACGCCGTGCGCACGTGCACGTGCGCATGGTGTGTCCCCCGACGACGTTCAGCTTTGCTTTTTTTTTTTTTGGCTGGGTTTTTGCCGCCGCCGCCTTCATTCACCGTATATGTATAGTATATGTATACGTACCTATATATATAGAAACTCAAGAAAAAAAATTGGCCCCGTATCTGCATGTAATCTGCAAATGTCGTCTAAAGACCATAGTCTTGCGTGTGGAGAGTGAACAAAACATTTATTTGATGTTCTACGGAAAGAAAAACAGTGAATGGTATTCCGGAGGCACTGCGTTAGTGCCTCAAGCGTGCAGCCGAGTCGAATGAGCGCATCACATCGCATCCATGCATCACATCACACGTGAGACATGAGCGCCATCTGGCAGTTTTTTTTTTTTTTTTTAAACAAAGCGCATGTAAGGTGTAGAACGCAAGGCGACGGGTAGGTGCCACCACCGTCTCGTCTTAGCAAAGCGTTGGAAACACTCGCATTTTCGTGCAAGTGTTGCATGGTCAGCGCAACGTGATAAATGCTACGGTCCTTGGAATTACTTATGTATGCCTTTTCTAATAAAAGACGCACACGCAAAATATATATGCATTGTTATGGTGCCTCAGATATGCGCAATAATTGCTTTTTAATTGAGAATCGCACACGTATGAACGCTGAATCTTGAGCAACATTGGTTGGCGCTGCGGATGGGGTCGGCCGTTCGGGTATCCGCTGGTGCTGTTTAGAGTACCCGGTTCACGATAAGGGTGGATAAACAGACAAATGTACAGGCAGACAAACCAAAGTTTTTTCGTCAAAAAAGAAGGTGTTTAATGAGAAGGAGGAGAGGTTGGCCTTGAAACCGGGTTTCTAGCCTGCTACTCCTCACGGGTGTAAGGAGAAAAGAGAAGGAAAGAGGAGGATATGATGAGGGGTGATTGTGGTATAGCACAATGAGTGACTGCACACAATGTCTTGTTGAGTGTAGTACACGCACAACAGTCTCTACATTAGCAGATTCTCTAAAGACGGGAATCTAAACCTGTATTGCTTAGAAATGCGAGAAAGTCCTTTAAACTGCATTGGGCATGATCCACACATTCCCAAGAACCCAAAAGTTTCTCTTCCAAAAAGGGTCGGCAGTCTAGGTCATCTGTGAGGCACCTAAGAGATTGTTTTTCAACTGCGTATAACGGGCGCACACACAGGATGTGATTAATAGTTTCTGGCGTGTTACACATGTTCCAGTTAGGATTTTGCTCTTGTCCAATCATGCATAAGAATTGTCGCGTGTATGCAACACCCAGCCGCAGTCTATGTAGTAGCATTTCTTGGTCTCTCCTTAGATGGAACGGGAGGCGAAAGAAGGTCTCCAAAACACCGCCCGCGCTCGGCGCTCAGCTCATCACGATGTGCCGATGAGCGCTTATCTCCCACGCGTACTTTGCCCCAGGAATGCAGAGGGGGGAAAGGGAGGTTAGATGCTTGTGCTCGTGCGCTTATCCTTCGGGGGGGGGGGGGGGGGGGGGGGGGGGTTAGAATCGCGTGCCTTCGGCTTTGACCATAACGATTGCGTTTGCTCTTTTCACACAGTCCCTTCGCGTTGAAACCGCACTGATACTCGCCGAGATAGCAAGCGCGCCAGCGATCACGACCGCCCTTAAGATCCAATTTTATTATTGCTACTCGAGCGATTCCCCCCCCCCCCTCATTGTTTCATGCTATCATGCTAGTTTAAGACGGGTGGTTTACTTTCTGTTTGAGCATTCGATGGCAATTCTAACACGCGCGAGATGTTATGCACTTTCCGGGCGATAGGGATGGGCCGACTCGTGTGATCTCTGCTTCAGCAGCGCTAGCGCGCTTTTACCGCTTGTGAAAGTTACAATGCGCGGGGGACATGTTGTGAATTTGTACTTGATGCGGAAACCTGGCGGCGACAGCAAGAACCCGCCGAGAGTGGCCATATAATTGCTATCACAATAGTAACGCAGTTTTTTACTGTAAAATGAGTGTTTGGGGTTAGCTCTGCCTTCGGTCCTCCTTTTGTTTAATTTGCACGTTTATTTTCCCAATTTTCGTGTTTAATCTGCATATAACAAAAAAACTCTTTATAAGGAATTTTTCCGGGAATTTATCAATTTCGTTACATCCAGGTTCAACTGTAGCACAATGCTGTAAGCCTACGTGACAGTACCAGATACAATGGCCACCACTAGTCTAAAAAAAACTGCCCTTTCAAGCACCACCAGACTGATAAATTAATCTGAGAATGCCATCATTAATATTTCATCACAGTATTGTTATCAGAAGACAAAATGAAGAAGAAAACTGTACCTCTGAATTTCGTATCGTAACCACAATGCATACATGTCAGTGGCACTCCCAAGACTCTTGAACACCTTTGCCACATTGAGTGTATAAAGTATAAAGTTTCCTGGAGCCTGCCATGTTAAGTCTCAGACTCTTTTAGCTACAACACAGTGCCATTCGTTTTTACCAATAAGTAAGCATGTAGGCTGCAGCAGATGCCGTCGAGATCTATGGTGTCAAGGAAAGCTGGTGTAAAACCCTAAAGGTCATCTAAGGTTTTCTCCACATGCATTTTAGGCTTACCGAGAACCATCACATGGTCAGAGTGGTACTTTGGGCATTATGAAAAGATTCTTTAGTAATACAAAAGAAATTATTTTTATGTCCTTTTAAGACCATTTCCAACTTAGTAGATCTGTTTGATATTGTGGTGATTGTTAGCACAAACTTTCCTGTGTCCTCACATAATTCTAGATGGACGCATCGTTGAGCAATACAACAAGTCTCAAAACTATACATAGGAACAAATATTTGTGTGCATGCTAACAAGCATAACGGAGACAAGGGCATCTAGCATCACAGGAAAGAGAAGTGAAGCCACAAGGCTTCCAACCACAAAGCAGAAGTGTTTTTTTACAAGTAAGCAGTGTAAACATCATTTAGGTTTTCCACATATGACTACATTAATGATTAAAAAAATATTTTTTTTCAATGACCCGATGTGTTTAGCTCGTTTCCATTATTATTGTTTGATACAAGCAATTTGAGCTATTTAGTTGAGAAACTATAAAAGACTACGATGCCTTTATTTTTTGTCATGATATTCTGAGAATTAAGGCACCCATAGTGGCCATCTGAACAGGCTGCCATTTGCCAACATCTGCATGCGTCCATTCATGCCCATCAGTAAAGAAACTTAAAAGTTTAGACAAATGAGCACCAAATGCAGCGCTTAATTTCATTCAAGTCTTAAAGCAAGTGAGAGGCTTCAGCAGTCCGCACCAAGACAAACCTAAGTTCCACCTTCTCTTTAGTTCGATAGAGCTGCAGCAAAGATCAATACGTGCAGCCTGACCGCAACTACACAGCACCACTACGGTTACTGCTCGTCGGCGTTACCAGCAACAGATGCTCAGATGGAACCAAAACACTGCAGCGCAAAAGTTTTGTGAAGGAAAAAAAAAAGAAAAAAACATGCAATCATTCTGGGACTTGCAGTCATTTATGGGGAAGCCAAAAGCATCCGCTGCTCCCTTAATAAGGATCCAGTTCTATTTTATAACACTTAAAATTTATCTGTAGAGTGAAGTTATAAATTCACAGGTAGTTATCAAGATTTATCCATCAAGCATAGTATCACTTTTTTTTTCTGCCTTCGATAAAAGGCATAAAAGTGCATACCCTCACATTAAAAACAACTTGCACAATTTGCACAGCTGTTGAAATTTTATCACTTGTATTGCATGCTTTTTCTTGCATTCTTTTTCCTTTTCCGAAATTGCTTCCTGCATCCCGGTTTGTATATCATATGCCCATATACAGAGTGCTTTAAGGCTGACTAGAAAGATGTAGCACTATTGGTGGTTTAATTGACCTAAAGACGGGCATAATGCTTTAGTTTTGTTCCTTTCATTTTTACAAATACTGACGCAGCATAGTCACTTTCTCGGTCAAATGTGCATGGTGTTCATTGGCTCACAAGTCTCATCATACAAGCCCATCAGAGTTTTCCTGAAAGAAAGGATGCCCTGTTGATAAGGTGGCTAGATGAAACTTTTCTGCAGCAAGGAAGCACGGGCTGCCATCATAAATGAGCTAGCTTCTATGACTAGCCATCCTTCAAGGCAAGGTGATGGGGCACAAGGCCAGGGGGGTTCACCTGTTAGCCAGATACTGCTGTGGCCCAGGGTTCTGCATGCCTGCTGCGGCTGCACTCATCATGCCCATGTTGCCAGACTGTTGAGGGGGTCCTCCCATGGTGTTCCCTGCCCCCCCTGGGTTGTAGCCCTGGCCAAAGCCTGGCGGGGCTGGGCCCATCATGCCACCACCAGGGCCCGGTGGGGCCCCAGCCACGCCGGCTGCTGCCCGACGCTCCATCAGGGCTTGCGGAGGTGGCCCGCCACCCCCATATCCCCCACCATAGTTTTGGCTCATGCCCCCTGGGGAACGGGACGAGTAGCCGACGTGGGAAGAAACAACCAGGAATCATCATCACAGGGACAGGAGACCAGGCAGGCAGGGGCAATTGAAGAGGGGGAGAGAGAAAACGAGGCACAAGGGTGAGTACATACACACACTTTTGTCCAGGCAGGAAGCAATGTTGGCTAACAGATGACCCCTGCCCGAACTATGAAATAAGTTTGGCATCACTGTCAACTGTCATGTGAGACAGCAAGTATGCCTCAACGACAAGCTGTAAGTGGCTTGATAGAAATTATATTTCGCTATGTCTTCGTGTGCAGTGGCACTGACATAAAATGATGAACATGGAACCCCTCATGCCAGAGAACTGATTCGTGAAACTGAAAAAGGTAAGAGTAGAAAATGGTATGGCTGACACTTGGTTACATAACAAATCTGTATTCACAAAAATTTGGTTAACACAAAAGCACTTTCTCTTTAGCTGGCAGTTGGGCTGGCAGCTTGTGATAGCATGCAAACTAAGTGAATGCCACGGCAATTATCAATCATGGACAACACTTATATGTATAAAAGTTTGGTGAGCCCAGGCCATGAACTTTTGATTGAATGACAACAACACCTTACAAGGCAATGCGAAATCTCTTCCCAATGAGCAAAAAAGGGGAAAACTTGAGATTCACGAGCAATGCAATGTTGCAGATTCCAGACTGTATACATCTGAAAACACTATATCTTGCTGGAACGTTTTGCCGTAAAGTAAATGAATTGAATTGAGGAATTTCATCTGCCAAAAGTAAGGCCTGATTACGATGCAAGTCATAGTGGCACACTTCCGATTAATTATGGCTACCTGATGTTCTTTATTGTGCACCCATAAGTACACAGGTGTTTTTTGTGTTTTTCCGCCATCAAAATGCAGCTACCATGGCCAGGAATTTCTCGAGCTTAAAATTTAAGAATGCTTACGAAAGCAGTAAAGGGACTCAACACAGCCGCACCTCTAAGCAGCAAATGTAACCTCTGAGCTTCCTTTACGAAATTCTCACTCAACCATCAGAGCACTACCTATCCATGGCATCCTGGTTGCCGAAGGAAAGCAAACTTTTAACCAATCTGAACACATAGTGCAAGAATAAAGTTGGAATATCTGTGAAACCAAAGTTCAGCATGGCTGCATTTTGGAAATGCACCGACTTGTACATGCCTCCTGGACGAGGAGGCATAAATATGGCAATAGGCAAATGGAAAGTCTGCATGCAAGCAAAGAAGATTGTACAGGAAGGGGAAACAGAGAAAAAAAAGGTCTGTCAAGTTTTCTTCATGAATTTGGTTTTAATGATTTTAACAAAACCATCACATTATGCTTTAATTAACTATGGATAAGTTCATAACCAATTACTCTCCAGCAGTACTGTTCCTGATTATAATTGCTTTTTTTTACTCATTCACCGTCACTGTAGTACAATTGATTTTTCAGTAAAATTACCGTTAATGACTTAACTCACCGAAAATACAAGTTACAGTAGGTAATGCACGTTTAGGCATATGAACTCAAGAAGAACTACAGCATAATGCCCACGTTAGTAGTGCCATTGAAGCATAGTGGTCACATGTGCTTAGAAATATAAAGGCACTTTGTACTTGCTAAATCTTCTGATGTCAAGAGGAAGTAAACTGGTACTAGAGGGCTCAATAGCAATGGTCACTATGTCGCGTTTCATTGCCAGGACATGATCAACAAACACATTTTAAAAACTTCATTTCACGAGGATCAAGCTTTCTCCAAGCTCCAGCAACAAATAAGCGCTGCACTAAACTGGAAGATAAAATGTCTTTTTTTCTCTCTGCCCCTTTTTTCTCGGTAGCTCTGGTAATGTGGGCAATCTGAAAAAGCCAGCACTGCTTCCTACTTATGGTCTTACTCACCACTTGAAAGATCTAGAAGCCATCTTGAAAGCACTAGAAGAATACCATCAAGCACTCGAAGAATAATACCCAGGACTCAACACCGATTCATTACAGTACTGAGTGGAAACACGAGAGACACGCGACTCGTGTCTCGTGCTTGGGCTCAGTACCATAATTCGTTACAACTTGCCCAACTCACAACTCTGCTCAACATTGATTTGATAAACCCACAAACAAGGTAGCATGGCTTTGAAGCAGTGCTAAGCAAGGTAGACTGCTGAAGAGCTCTCCTCAAAACGTATGAACCTTGGGCAAGTAATAGGCAATAAGACATTTGTGCAAACACCAATGAACCACGGACACCACCAGCACAGAGAAGAGAAGACGAGAAAAGTATTTAGTTGCCCGCAGCAACATATTCTACAGAAAACATTTTCATTTAACAGGACAGGGACTGCACAGCGACAAACAGTACTTGGGAACATGCTTCAGACTTTTGTGACATGACACTCATTCAAGAACACAGACAGAAACATGGATAACGCTTCACTTACCTGCCTCATAATACTCACTCTTGCTCAAATATAATAGGAATCAACTAAATTTCTAACCAAGGCTTTGTTAGACCAGGCACAAGACAAACACTGATTTCTGTGGATGTGATCAGAACAGGTAAGTTAATATGCTACATGAAAAATCGAAATTCACTCACCGATAGCTGACCAGCTTTAGATTATTAAGCCCTTTTACGCTATTAAATGTGGTTCTCCGAACGGCCACACTAAAATGACTGTGCTGAAGTAGGCTAAAAAATGTACAACACTATTCAAGAACTGCATGTGCTCAAAACTAAACACACAAACCAAAGAAATGAAATTCAATTAATGGAAAGATATATGTGTCAGTTGCCCCTCGGTATCATACTCTGAAAAAGCATGCCGATACATTGGTCATTGCAATTTTTATCAGAAACACCTCATAACTGGGCAACTTAATTTTTTTATGACCTTAATCACCTTTACTACTATCAGTGCACATGTATGTGTTTTCCTATACAAAACAGGTCTTCCAACAATAACGCATCAGTTGCACTCCAGCACTTGTGTTTGCATTATTTTATGTGTGCCTAATGACTGCCCTTTTGTGTGCAGTTTTATCAAATACCTAAATTCCACGATGCCATTTTCAGTAAGTTATTCACTCTATTGGACTTTCTTAATTAGTGGTCACACTATAAAAATTTGCATGTGAATACTAACTTCCACTTTCAATGTCTAAGACAGTGCCAACAAGATGGAAAGAATGTCTTACTGCTAGCATAACAATGTGTTATAATGATTAAGTAGTAAGATAATTCATGAATTACATGCCACCCATAAGCCCACAATATCAAAGATCCCCTAATTATAGTGTACTGATGCAGAATAAGCTTTGCCATAGTATATAACAAGAATTTTCCACCCAAAAGCATTGGAATAATATAAGAAGAATTTTTTAAAGAAATTAGCAAACTAACTCTAGCGTGCTACGTGCAAGTACAGAAATTGCACCGACTGCACCAAATATACGGTAGTCAAAGCTATGCCAAGCTGGCATGAGTGAGGCAGTTAACCTGTTAGCACTGCTGCACACCCATCAATTATGACAAACCTATGAAATATAAACAGGTGATGTAACAACGACACTAACCATCCTTGTTAAAAGCAAGGGTACCATTGCTTCAGACAACAGATCAAGCTTGCACACGGATGATTTTGTTAGTAAGAATGGTGCAATTTAGTAGCAGCAAATCCAAAAAAAAAACTTTTGGTTCATGCTCACCCACAGCTCGAAAATAATCTGAAAAGAATGAAAGAATTTCACAGCTCAACATGCAAGTACGAAGCAGGTCACCTTTCACATTTTTGCCACAAAGCAATTAGGATTAATTTCAACAAAAAACTTCCACTACATTATTAAAGGGGCCCTGCAACACTTTTTGAGCATGGTCAGAAAACGCTGCCGATCGGTAGTCAAGCTCCCGAGGACACATGAGCCTAACCTTAAAACATGGCAAGTGACCTGCAATTTACAATTCATTTTCGAATTTGATTAGAAGCCACTCACTCTTCTCTCAATAAATAATGCCATCAATCCAAATGACCCTACCCCGCGGTCATTGGCTGGATTGAGCATTATGCGCAGCATAGTTACCGCTGCTGAATGCCACGACGTGCCCGAGCGATTGCTCGTGACCACACTGAAAGTAAGCCATAGGTTTGAATGAAAAATTGAATTAAATTGAGTGCCCAAGATCACGACGTATGCTAACGGATATACGTATATTTCTGTCCCCTTTTTATATGATCCCCCTCTCAAATGGTAGCTTTCAGCTTTTTCGCTGTCAAGAAAAGAGAGAGAAAGCACTTATAGCATGTGAATAAACCTGGTGACTCAAATCGTATTTGATAGATTACAAAAACTTTTATGGCAGTCATACCTTGAGGCAATAAACTTCTTTAACGAAGACATTTGACGATTACTCGGATAAGTGTTGCCAGGCCCCCTTATTAAAAAGAAAACGTTGGGGGTGCATCAAATTTCAAAAAGTAGCTCATAAAACAAGATGAGTGGAAGTCAGAGATGTTAAAACAAAACTACATAAAAAATTATACGCAGTTTAGATAACAGCGGCTAGCCCGAATTGGGCAGGTTGCACTGTTTTGTTCTATTCTTGTATGCACTGAATAGCAGAACCAACTATTGCTCACATGCCATACCTCCAGCAAGTGCTTCCCAACCAAACACAACTTCCATGCCTGTTCTCACAGCCTGACAATAGATGGCCAGCACAAGAATAAAACTTTCTCATAATGATTAGTCTACCGAGGGCCAAGAGAAAACTACCAGATTCATACTCAATGTAAGTGCCCTATCACCAATAATTACCCCGTGACCACATGAAAGAGAACAACAAGCAGAAGCCTACCATAAAGTAAACAAGGGCCAGGCAAGAACATATGCCCACACAGATATCTATAAACAAGAGAGGTGAGAAACCAAAAGACCCAGCTTTTGTTAGTCGTAACTACAAGAAGGCAACAGATCATGAAACCTTTGCTAAAGGTTTCATCACCTGTTTGCTTCATGTAGAGCTTTGACGCACACATACTTTAAAGGTGCAAACAGAAACTGCATGTTAAATAAGGTCGTGCACCTATTGTACAGTTGAGGATATTATCTGAAACTACATGTAACTAAAGCATAAAAAATAGAGTTGAACCCCTTTATAACAGAGATGCATCAGATAGAAATTCTTGTTATTGATATTAGGTGCCTATTATAAGCAGAGTACCACGTTTCCATTTTTTTTATCAATCCCTATTTCTATGTAGGCCCACTGGTGTATCTTATACCTATTCATCTCTTACATCAGCCTATTACAATAGGCTTCTAGTGCAATGAAATTCAACATTGCACAAACTACGCAACAGGCGTTATTATGTTTCATCACACAACGAGAAATGCAAATCCAATCAGCAGAGTTGAAATGTCGATGCGACTCCACTGTGTCGAAACCCTTCTGCAAAACGTCGCAGATATTGGCTTCAGCTACACTTCTCATTCAATGACTGCTGATCATCTCAATTGGTCCGACTGCTTTTACAGCTTCACTCGGTCAATGTTTGTACAGCCAGGGAGCAGTGCTTATGTCAAATGAAGTCACAACACAGACCCAGGATGTGCAAAAAAGAATTAAAACAAGTAAGCAAGACGCACCTGGTGGAGGCAGGTGGTGCATGCCAGCTGCTTGAGCCTGTGCTCCCTGCTGCATGCCGGGGTGGAACATGCCTTGCTGGCCCACTTGTTGCTGCACATATTGGTAACAACACAGTTTGCATGAGCACTTTTTTTTTACACACTTTACATAACTCAACACACAGGTACTTATAACAATAAGTAATGCAACATCCTGTGAAAGGAGCAGAGTCACAGTGACACCTACGGCGTACCACTGAATTCTCACGCATACTTTCTGGATATGAACATGCAAACAAAGGTGCAACAAACAGACACACTGAGTACAGTCGACTCCCGTTAATACGAAGTTCACGGGAACCGCAAAAAACTTCGAATTAAACGAACTTCGAATTAAGCAAAAAGCACTAAAAACGGCACTTTTATTAGTTTAAAATCGCGACAGTTTTGAGGAAAAATAGTCTGTCATCTTCTTCTGCTTGCCGAATCTGGCTGCGGCTAGCAAGTTTTGTAAGGAATACACGTGTCGAAGTGCTTCTTCGGCGTTGTGTTCTCCAACAAAAAACCGCTGCGCAAGAGCAAGATCCGCAGCTACATCGGCAGCCCTCGGTGGTAGCTCATTTCCGATGTCGTCGTCATCATCGTCATTTTCAGGAATGCAGTCATGGGGTCGAACCATCTGCACGATTTCGCTGTCCGTTAGTGGACCGCATGTTTCGACGTTGCTGTCCACAGCGACATACTCGTCAAAACGGACGTCACCGAGAGCGGCGCGAAAGCTACCGTCGTCGAGCTCATTTGTTTGCACTTCCACTGGCGCACAAGGAGAAGCATCCCCCGAGTTTTCCATGAAACCACAGGCCCGGAAACAATTGGCGATGGTTTCTTCTTTCACGCGGGTCCAAGCTCGCGCTAGCATGTTGATGGCACTAAGCAAACTCACCTCGTATTGCGACGAGTCGTCCATGCACAAAAGCATGCGCTCGACGAGATGCTGCCTATACAATACCTTCACATTTTTTATTATGCCCTGGTCCATGGGCTGCAACACGGACGTCGTGTTTGCAGGCAGGTACACAAGACGGATGGCACTCAAGGCAGGTACGTTCATGCGGGCACTACATTGGTCCACAAGGAACAACACCTTACGGCTTGATTGCGCGAACTTGCGGTCGAGTTTGGTGATCCAGTCCTTAAATATATCGGATGTCATCCACGCCTTTCTGTTCGAGGCATAATCCACAGGAAGCGTCTTCACGCCTTTAAAGCACCTAGGCTTGGCAGCCTTCCCGATCACAAGCAGGCGACACCGTTCTGTGCCAGTCATGTTCGCCGCGACTAGCACTGACACTCTCTCTTTGCTTCTTTTGCCTCCAGAACAGTCGTCGTCTTTAAATGTCAGGGTCTTGTCCGGTAGCAGCCGATAAAAAAGTGCAGTCTCGTCTGCATTAAAAATGTCTGCCGGCTGGTATTCTTCGAGGTACTCGCGAAGCTTGCCCGCTTTCCATGTCAGGCACGTTTCCTCATCGACTGACGCCTTCTCCCCACACACGCTTTTAAAAATCAAGTCGTGGCGATGTTTGAAACGCGTAAGCCACCCATCCGAAGCAGCGAAGTCGTTCATGCCCAACATTGCAGCAAGCGATGACGCTTTTGCCGTGACGACTTCACCACTGAGAGGAAGTTTGTTGTTTCGTGCCTCTCTGATCCAAATCAGCAGTGCTTCCTCCAACTCGGGGTAGGCGCCGGTGCGCATCCGCTTCCGCGATGTCTTGAATTTTTCACTTTCAAACGCATCCAATATTGAGCGCTTATTCTTTATGAAAGTCGACAGCGTGTTAGGCTTAATGCCGTACTTTCTTGCAATGTCTTGTTTGGCGGTGCCTCCCTGGTCAACTTCCTTCAAGACTTCGACTTTCGTCGCTAGGTTTAGCGTTCGGTAAGGGCCACGAGTTGCCATTATCAAACGTACGTCACCACCACAACACTCAAAATCAGAAGCGCGGAAACACGTGTGGAATCAACCCAGCGCGCGGGTGACGTGGTGACACACTCGAGTCTCGACAAAAGTCAACTAAAGAGTCAGTCGATGCCGCCGATGCGATTCGCCAGCGTTAAAAAGATTGCCGCTTCAAGATCTGTGGCGCTGCGGACAGTAGTGATGGCGAAGACACCAGCACGGTCCGGCAGATGTTTTGGCATATGAAAAGTTCCCCATTTTACTGTAAAATTACGGTCGCGACGAGACTGTCGATTGAAAAAACTTCTAATTAACCAATATTATGGGTTTTTAACTTCGAATTATCAAACATTTTTTTCTATACGATTGCATGCAAAACTGATGGGACCACTTGCTCATTTCTAATTAACAGAAACTTCCAATTAAGCAACTTCGAATTACCGGGAGTCGACTGTATATCCTTCAAAACAGGCACACTCAATGGCAAATGACAAAGTTCTCATTCACTTCATTTTCTACGACCAGCAAAATGTTTGAATTGAATGCAAAAAGTGATATGGGCACTTCGAATATAAAACAAAAGTTTGGAAATAATAGTAAGTTACATGCATCATCATGGAGCCTTAATCAAAAAGAAGCTTGCAGCACTGTTTTCTTTTATTTACTTAGATTCATTCATCTATACATATACTATAGACGATTTTCTGCAGCTGCTTTGTTCATTTAAAACTAGATGGCGCCACAACACCATGGCCGTCTCCCTACCATGGTTGTTCTGCCGTGGCCCTCTGCAGCACTGCCAACATCTGCGTCACGTTATCTGCTCGGAGTACTCATAGTGTCTGCTTCAGGCAGACGCTATGGGGACGCCGACGAAGCAGACGGATGCACTGGAAAAGTCAACATGACGGCACCTATGGGTTCAGTTTCCTTCCGCCTCGATCTTATCACGTCGTCATCCTGCACTGTGTGGCTGTAAGTTCACAACATACACATTTATTTGCTTTATATTTACGTTCTGAAGCGAGTGCAGGGTATTCGTCGGTATTTTGCAGTGTTTTCAAGACTCATTCTCAAATTCTTGGAGACTAGGCTTAGCAAGCACGGCTAAATAAGCAGAGCTAATTTCCTCAATAAATACAGAACATAGCTGACACTTTGTCCACAGTGTGAGACGACACAATGTGGCAGCTGATTTCACTATTCATTTATTGCTGCGGCAACAGTGGGCGAGTAGCAAGTGGGCGGTCGTGTGTGCATGGGTGCTGACATATTGGCTTGTAACCTCAGCTACGACCATAGCCGCTTCGCTGGCCTAATGCGTTGGCTCGGGTGACTGGCTGGGAGAAGGCCAGTTATGGTAACGTAATCAAATAAGGTAGAGCCCGTGGACTGCTGCGGAAAATCGTCTATAACTATTATTTTGGTGCCAGTCATCGCATTGGAATGCATATATTTGAGAGTTGGCAAGTAAGGAAAAATAGAGACTGTTATTTGATGTCATAAGAAGAAGAATTGCATTGAGTTTTATTTGCCAAAGAGATACATAATAGGCAAATATGTAATGTATCGCTGCCCAAATCTTTAACTATCGTGTGCAGTGGTGACTTTTCTGTCGGTCAGCGGCGGGCGACCCATCCGAGATCAACGTGCTCGCGGTTCGCGCGGCACAGCAAATGGACAAACTGCATTGAATTGCATTTTTTTTCTACCCTGAATGTTTCACGGAGATGCAAAGACATATAAAGATTATGTGAATGTGGAAATAATTCCTGTTTCATAGAAGGCTGCCACGCACGCTACTGACAACTGCGCAAGCATCGTCAAAACGCTGTATGCCAATCTGAACTATGGAAACCCTGGAAACATCTGGCATGCAATGAAAAGAAAACGCTTGAAGAATGATAACTACACTCCCGGTGGCTTCTAGCTTCATTACTGCACTGATTTACACCATTACCTGTTGAATATACATGCTCACCGTGTCCCCTAAACTTCTTTTTTTGTTTTCTCAAAACAACATTTTTTATCAAGTCTGAGGCTATTGCCCACAGTATCTTTTGATTTAGTGATAGGATTTTGATAATTGTTGCAGCATTTGAAAGCTTATACATTGACGAGTGCAACAAGACCAACAGATTATGATAATTTCATTAAGAACAGTTATTTAATTAGTGATATAATTAAGCAACAGTTTATGATTTCTGACAAGTCTACTTGTTAAGGCAATAACTCTTGAATCAATGAAGCTAAAAATAAAATTATGGTTTCCTTGCACTCTCTGTTCTTCACAGAACACTGCCATATCTAATTTGCAGCCATCTTTTATGAGAAAGCTGTCTAAACAGTGGGCAGAATGTAAGTTTATGGAACAGTCAATATTTTGAAATCTGCAAGTTACAGCTGAAAACTAATTGCATATATTTTTTCAGCTGTGAGAAATGCATATCACAAAATTTTCAGCTTTAAATACTCCAAATTTTATAAAATTTGAGACCAGTGTCTTCTCTTAATTTAGTCATATGGTGAGGACACACAGAAAAACCGCCACTCATGCATGGTAGTTAAAGATTTGTGTGACTGTACCCATTATTCCAATGCTGTTACAACTTCTATGCTTGCAGCACTCATAAACATGAAGATGACATTTTTTTTCTCAATGGCATCAGTTTGTTGCCTGTACCATCATGCCTGAACAAGTAAAGCAAACAAAAACTAGTTAATCAACTCACAGGAGCCATGCCCTGGGGGCGCATCTGTTGCTGGCGCATCATCATTTGATGACGCTGTTGCTGCTGCTTTTGCAGCATGTCCATGTTTGGTGGGGCATACGGCGGCGCACCGCCGCTTCCAGGTCCACCAACTGGACCCTGCATGGTGGCCTGAGGTGCCCCCTGAGGGCCCTGGGGAGCTCCTTGCGGTGGCCCACCAAGAAACTGTGCTGAAGGGTGACGAGCTCGCAGCATGGAGCTGAGAGCAGCCTTGGACTGAGAAAGCTGGCGCTCAAAGCGGGGTCCTCCTGACAGAGCACCGAGAAGGAGGGTACAGGGTAGGGGAAGGGGAAGAAGGTAGCAGCCCAAGGACAAGAAAGGAGAAAGTAGGATGGAAGTAGTAGGAACAACAAAAAATGCAAATGCACCAGGAAGAAGCGAAAATCCAGATAAGCAGAGGAACAAAAGGTTGTTGAGTATTGCACAATGTGCAGCCAGAGGAGCGAGGTGGAATGAACGCCACGGGTTTTTGACATCATACCAATTCAAGATGTCCAAGACAGATGGAACAGTGCAAAAATATTACCGGTAGCACAGAGAGAATTCACGCAGTGACAGGAACGCAGTGACAGGAGAGGGTGAAGGTATTGGACAAGCAACATCATTGATAGCATGGCCACAGCAGGCCCAGCACAGCATGTAGAAGGTGAAAGAAGAAAAAACCGTTAGGGGAATGGTGAACAAGTTGATGGATATTTGGAAGTGAACCGAATGGAATGGTGAGAAAGGTGTGTTGAGTCCGCAATAAAAATGCGACCAAGCCAAATGCGGTTCAGCAAAAGAGCAGGACATAGTGACAAGACAGACAAATGAAAAACAGAGATGACGCCAACAAAGCCAAGGTTGGTCATGGTAAGATAGTTTGCAACAAGTCAGAGATGTTACGATAACACATGAAATGAAATTCGCAAGTGCCAGGAACGAAGCAGCAGTAAAAAACAAACATGGACAGGCATGAAGCAGAGGGACAGGTTTTTGATGATGTGTCGGTGATAAAACAGACCGGAATAGCACAAAAAGGGGTGTGCCATAAGAAAGACACCAAAGACAGAAATCAAGAAGCATGGAAGGCACAGAAAAGTCAAGAGAGGGCATTTGGCCATGCAGAAAATGCACAAAAAGAGAGAGAGAGAGAGAAGCAGACACATAACAGAATGAAAAGAAATGAGATAAAACGGAAATAGAAAAAACAATAAAAACAAAGTGAAAGAGAAAAGAAAAGCAAGGGGCCACAAAAAAAGAAAAGAAAATAAGCAGTTATTTAATATTATAGAATAACAAATCGTAATATACAAAATAAAATTTGGCATTTACATGAAAAATATTTCCAGATATTATTCAGTGATTCAAATACAAATAGAAGTTATTGTTGTAATCACAAGTTTGTAAGTGAAAAAATAATAAGAAATGAAAATGTTGAAAATCAGGCAATTTAAAATAAAATAAAAAAAGGGCAGCCAGGATTGGGCGAGAGACCAAGGACGGGAGACAGGATAAGGACAGTAGGGTGGGGAAGGACGGGTTTGAGGGTTGAAGCGGGGCTATCATTAATACTTGACACGTGCATGTACAGTGTTACAGTTAATCATTGCACCATGAAAATGAAAAAGAGGGGCATTAATACAATCAGCTATACTGCGGGGTAATGCAGACTGCTGAGCATGCATTCAAGGACTTAATTAGCGACTCCTAGATGCTGCTAACCTTCCAAGCTGTTCTATAGAATAAATTACTTTTGAACATTGTGAAAAAAAGCCAATCTACACTGCAAACAAACAAGCACAATTAGGCAACTGTACAACGCATTGGCCTACAGATAAATGCTAGTGAATTCGTGGGGCTCTGTACACTACTGCTCGTAATTGTAACTGAATATTCCTAGTTAGAAAAGACACATCATTCTGCAATATTCAAATATGTATAATTTTATGCTGAGGCTGTAGAAATGACTTATGCAATGCACAGCAAAGCACCTAAAACATCAACATGACAAGCTCAGCAGGAGCCAGCGATGTGGAACAGGCCTTACACAGTGATTCTACTTCAAAGGCACACTCGTTCACTGCAGTACACCGCCACATTAAATTCCCTGGGATGTTCCAAGTCATGACTGCACTCCCATGGTCTTTCACAGCATCTCTGATTATTGCCCCGCCTACTTCAACATGAGCACTGCTGCAACTCACAGATGTGGCTACTAGTGGCACTGACCAACACTCCCATGTTTAAATGCACATCAATACGTTGCTGCTGCCGCAATACCAAATGTTGCTGCCGAATTATCGTATTTTCTGGGAACATATTTACCGAAACGTATTAACACATAGCGCTATAGAAGCATTTATGGTTTACCCAATTTCGAGCGAAATCGTTTTAAGCAGGAACCTATCAACGAGCTTCTACTGTACCGGTGCAAGCTGTAACAGTGGAAATAATCGGCTACTTATCCAAGCCTCTATGCGCTAAAATATATGCAGATATGAAGTATATGCACGCATGTGCACGAAATATTTTTCTGAACTTCACAAGTCTTGGCAACTTGGCAAAGAAATGTAGACGCAAAATCAAGATAACTAAGATTTGTGTGCTTTTCTTCCCCCTTAACTTAGACTACGCATGTTCCTATGCGACTTCTAATAACTTGCATAAACTGAAAAATTAATAAAGGTCTGCTGCATTAAATAAAAAAATAATGTGCATTTATAATGTTGAATAAATAATGTTAAGGGTAGAGGGAGGGCATGTGCTATGATATAACTGTAAGGCATATGTTCCTTAATAGTAAACCTTGACAAGACTACAACTGAGGCCAAGGAAAATGGGTGTACAGTATGGTACAGTCTAATCGCATTCTACCCAAGACTTATAGTTCGAGAGTAAGTGGCATGCTGTCTCACATACGTCTCGTGCCTGCAACATTGCATTTGTCCCCCATAGAGGGTGTGGGAATCAGGCTGAGCCCCTCCTGGGGCGACAGTGCAGTTTGAGCAATGAAAGGCGCACCTGGGGGCAAGGGCTGCTGGGGTGCGTAGTATGATGGCTGCTGCATGGGTGGTGGCTGCTGTCCGTACCACTGCTGTGGAGGCGGAGGTGGTCCCTGGGGGTACATGGGCTGTTGCTCAGGGGGGTACGCCAAGGAGCCACGGACCGGCGGGGCCTGCAAACAACAGGGCAGCACACAGCACCGTGGATGAAACTGAATAAGGGACGCTATAGAGAAGCACTAAATCAGTCTGGATTTCAAAGAAAGCAATTATGTATTTGAATTCATCATAAAAACAAAAACTGCCAGTGAAGATAAAATTTATAATATTAGATTTTGTCAATTTCGCACTTTTTCAAGGCATTGCAAACGCATCAAATATTTAACAACACTTGTCCCACCAACATTGTCTTTAACAAGTAGGTAATTCATCAGTAACTGAACAAAATTTGTGATCAGTGCAGAGAAGGTTGCATTCTTTAAAAAAAATTTTCTCCCAATTTATGTTCTTACCCCATCCACGAAAACATCACAGCAACCATAAACCAAGCAAAACTTTCTTGGCACAAAGCTATATAAACAGTCATCACAAAAGCTAAGTCAGTCACGATTGCTAAGAAACCCAAAATAATGAAGCTCAATGTCTGGTGCACCAAGTTGTTAATTTTTTAAGAATGCAAATTACTTGTATTAATTTCACTCGCCCACTCTATGAAAAGCTGGCAAAAACTGGGGTTCTATAAAAAAAACTGGCAGCACCAGATGACTAACTCGCCCAACAAGCAATACCCTTGTACCAGATGACAAGACTTGCAGGTCGATGCGCACATATATTTTTGAGAAATATTTCCTGGTTTTGTGCCTTTGCCTTGTCTGGGGCCACATGTACAGTTAACCGCAAAAATACACCATAAGATCTGGAAGGCTATTGTAGGCAATGAGTGGCTAGTACTTTATTTCTTGCAGTTGGGTGCACAATGCAGATAAAGTGAAGCCTGCAAATTTTTCACACAGTAGCAGCAGTGAATTGGTCACACAGCTAAAAAGAGGGAGGGTAAGGAACAGACCTGCCCTGCAAGACCTTTGGCCTTGCGAGGCCGCCTCTGGGCCTTGGGCTTCTTGGCACCTCCACGCGGTGAGGGTGCGCTGTGTATCTCGTGCAATGCTCGCTTGGACTCTTCCAGCAGCTGCATCTGGTGAGAAGACAAAAACTCGAGGTGAGAAACAGAGTACAGCCAAGTGATGCTTATTGATCTGGCAGAATTTAACCACAATTGAAACACAATCTCAAATTGAATGTGACCATAATATTTGTGTCTATACAAAGAATAAAAAATTGAAGCACACCACCCGCCCTTCTGAAGGATGAAACCAGCAAACTCGTACCTCAGCACAATAATGATTTACTTATTTATGCCCGTAATCCTCATACCAGAAAGTTAGCCATCTATAAAGGATTTCAGGTCACTTTCCCATAGTCCAAAGCTCGTTTGATATTCTGCATTTATCAAATGAATCTATGACCATCGTGATCGGGAAACTGACCCATGCGCACACTAATTGAACCGCGCAGCAGGCAGCACTTGCGCTCAAATTTATTTGGCGTGCTAGCATACTGTATCACTGGTCTCGTTGCCTCTCACCAGAATGAAGCATTACCGCATCTCGTGTTTGACACTTAAGCTACCTTCAAAATTTAGAAGGCTGTACATGCTTGGAATTAAATGGAGGCTCCGTTTCAGTTTGTAACGACGAGACCCCTTTCTGTATACACCTATGTTGTATTTGACCTTTCGTTTGTCGTGAATGAAATTACTCAGATTTTGATTAGATGTTTACAAACCTCAGAATGTAATAAAATGCACTTTTCCTAGCATTTTGTACTACACCTTGTAAAACTGTACAAAACCACGTTGTTGGCAAATACTAGTAGAGGCTATAAATAATACCAGACCAGATGCCCAGATTACGAAAAGATATTGCACTTTTTTTTTACATTGCATGGTCCATAAACATTTCAAGCTAAGTGTATGCAAAACTTAATTTGAGGCCTCTCAAGTTCACAATACGTATCAGGTGATTGAGCAATGTCCAAATCATACATGCTACAGTGTCACAACCAAAATACTCAATGCTTACTCAATTTATTTAAATTATGAAAACACCCAATGCAATAAATATACTGGCGGAAGTAAGGCAAGTGCTTCGTATGAACCAGTGCTTTGTAGTTCACTGTACCTGCAGATGCTTGTCAGGGGGCTGGCCCATGTGAGGTGGAGCCAGGTGAGGCACAAGGTGGTGGGGAGGGGCCAGGTGTGGGGGCGGGGCCAAGTGTGGGGGAGGACCTAAGTGAGGCCCACCCACTCCCACATTTGGTGGCACTGCCGGGAGGATCGCAGGTGGCTCCAAAAGCTCCTCGGGAGGTAGGGGTGGCGGTTCCAGGAAATAAGAAGCTGGCTTGGCAAGGGCGGAATGTGTGTGCCACAGAAGACTGTTCCGGGGCATCTCCTCCAGACGAGGCTTGCGCTCCATGCGTACTGCCCCGAACCACGCCCACAAAAGTGGTGCTGGGTTTCGCTGACCTTCGAGCAAGTCCCAAGGACTAACAAACTGTTTTTCAGCTACTTGAAGACCCTGAATGCAACAGGCAGGAAAAAAGACTTACCAAATTTGCACAATCGTAGGTGTTATCTTGAATTACCATTTAAAAATTTGAAGTGGTTGGGGGGGGGTCAACTTGGAATCGAGGGTTAAAAGTGCATGTACTACGTACCAGTAATGACAAGACAAATGAGAAATCAGGGGGGCTAAGGTATGATTACAACATTTCATTTGCTTTCCAGCTCTAACCATAGCATATAGTTTTTGTACTTGTTCCAAAAGATTTTTTTTTTCTTTTTACTTGTGGGAGTTCCCAGGTGCAAGTGTCGATCACTTATGGAACAGCCGCTGTTTTTATCAGCAGCGTACTTTGTTTGTGGGTTACCAGTGCTTCAAAGGAAGAGCCTCTCTTTCTGGCTCTTTAGCACATTTGTTTTGACAGCAACGAGAAACCTTCGTGCTTGCTACTTATGCTTCATTGTCATGGGTGCTCCTGCCCCAGGAACTTTCAGCACTGAATCACAGCGACATTCAAAAGGGCTGCTATTCTCCATGCTGGAAAACCAATAATGCATAGCGGTAGGCAAGTTCGGAGTTTCAAATAGGTGGTACGGCAGTAACAACTGCAACATGACCAAATATTTACATGAGACACCAAGGACCAAAGCTTTCGTGCACTGAAGTCTGGACTACTTCTGAAGTTTGTTGCGCATGTGACTGAACTACGTGATTTGACATTGCTACGGCACATGAAATGGTCATGCAAAAAGCTCGTATTTTCACTTCTGAGACAGGAATACCAAAGACACACTTCAAAGCCACCAGTGCCCGGGCACCAAATTTCTTGAAAAGGGCTAGCTTGATGACAACTTTAGTGAGGACTAGTCGTCAGTCCAGGGACTGTGTCAATAGATTTTTGTTACAGAATGTGCTTCACTGTGTGGTGTTCCTTCTTTATTATTATTATTATTATTATTATATTATTATTATTATTATTATTATTATTATTATTATCAGAGTGTAGTGGAGGTAAATTTGCCATGTAATATGGTGGGTAGCAAAACCTAGCTAGACGCAGCAAAGATTCACGCCAAACACCAATGGTACAGACGTCTTATCTTCAAATTTTAAAGGAGCACTGACACAAAAATTTCGCCTTTTTTTTTTCAATAGGTAGCTCATGACGAACTTATCACGGCTGGAAACCTCGTTTGCGTGGAGGCGTGACAGTAATTTATTCAGTGACATTTTTAGCGGGCACAGCCTCAGTTTTGGTGCAGCGTGCACTTATATTTAATTTAGTTGGCTTGTGCGAATAGTGAATTTTAGGTTCGAAGCGAATAGTAATTTCAGTCAAATCATTTCGAATCGAATTCAAATAGTGTATACGACATATAAAGGAAATGAGCATAATTATCATGACCTAACTAACCTACACATTTTTTTTTTTCATTCAAAAAATGCCTATATGCAATTGCCCTTTTTTTTTTCATTCAGAGGAAGTCAAAAGAACTTTGAGTAGCAGCACAATCTGATTTTCGGTGTGTGATGAGAGTGATAACCTGTAAATACTGTTATGAGACAATGTCCCACAAAAGCGGTTAGATAGGCGCGGAGAAAGACGACGTGATTTTGGTGTAGGGCACAGTTCTTGTTCTCGATCTTGGCTTGCGCGTTGGCACTGTGTAAATATATCTTCAAACGCCTAGTTTTGCGTGTACCTTCACGTAACATTTGGTGGAAGATGCTGGGTTACAACGCACGACGGAGTTATGCAGCGGACCTCTAGTCGCTGCTTCCGACATGTCTACCGGCAGTGACGCTTCGTCAACTGCCGCGCCCTATGCATCAACGGCGCCAACCTCCCCTGTTTTTCTCGTGGGCCGCCCCACCCCGCGATCCCGGCAATGTTTCGGGAACGGAAGGCGAGGACGTGGATGAGTGGCTAAACTCTACGAGCTCGTCAGCGAAAACCACAGGTGGGACCCAACGTTGATGCTGGCAAACCTCATCTTTTATTTGCAAGGAACAGCCAAGGCATGGTTTAATAACAACGTGGACGCGATCACAAGCTGTGACATATGCAAGACCAAGTTACGCGAGTTGTTTGGTCAATCTGCTGGCTGCAAGCAGGCCACTAGGAAAAGAACTTGGCACACGTGTTAAGACGTCCACGGAGTCTTACCTGGCGTATATACAAGATGTGCCGACTCTTTGCCGTAAATTGACCGAACCATGGCTGAAGCAGACGTAGCGCACGTGCTCAAGGGCATCGCAGACGATGCATTTAACCTTCTTGTGTGCAAAGGCTGTTCCACCGTGCAAGATGTTATTTTGGAGTGCCAACGCTTTCAAGAGGCTAAAAGCCGTCGCATTGCCTACCACGTTACGCGCCTTCCCAACACTGCTGCGACGTCAACTTGCGAGAATCTTTCGTATAGCGACCCAGCCAATTCACGTTCCGGTGACATCACGAGAATTGTACGCCGTGAAATCGAGGTCATATCACCCACACCCTTGAGAGCACTAGCACTGAGTGATCCTCGGCCGAACACATTGCTAATACAGACGGTTGTTCGCCAAGAACTAGCCAACGCGGGTATTCACACGGTCTGTTCTGTGCACCGTCCCGACGCTGTCAGATTATCTACCTTCAGTCACCGACAGCATTATCGCCGCCCTGCTCCAGTAACCGTGACCCAAATGCGTGGAGGACGCCTGACGACAGGCCGATTTGCTTTCGATGTGAACGAGTGGGATACGTTTTCCCGCCATTGCCGAAACACGTGGACCTCACCGTATCGGGCAAACTCAAGCTTCTCCAACCTCCACTCACCAGCCCATCTCTATGGCCAGGAACTACCACGGCCTGAGGGCTCAGCTAATTACGACCCGACCACTACGACCACTGCCCAGTACAGTCGTTCACCTTCACCTCGACGCAAAATTTTCCCGGTGTCCGCGGCTGCCCCGTTCCCCGTCCCCATCCTCTGCCCAGTGGTTTTCTTCGGAAAACTAACGGCTGCAGCTCCTGGAGGTGACGCTGCTGATACGACTTGCTCTCCAATTCCTCTGTGACGCTCCCGACCAATCAGAACCTGATCGACATTGAAGTGGACGGTTTTATCTGTTTAAAGCCTTGGTGGACACTGGCGCCCATATTTCTGTGATGAGCTTGCACATTCGTGACCGCTTAAAGAAAGTCCTTACTTCAGCCCCTTCACGCAGTGTTCATGTTGCTGATGGTGGTACGGCTTCGGTTATTGGCGTCTGTACTGCCGTGTCACTATCGCCGGCCGACAAACTTCAGTTCTCTTCACTCTTCTCTCTCACTGCACCAATGATGTGATCCTCGGTCTTGACTTTTTGTCCACTCATTCCGCCCTCATCAACTGTTCAGCTGGTACTGTGCAACTTGACCCTACCGTGTCCGATTCATCCGCCAGTCCACCCCAAGCTCGTATGTGCTCTGCTGGGCATGTCCGTTTGTCACCACAAACTGTGACCTGCATCACCGTAATGCCCTCACACCTGTATCGATGGCGACTATGTGCTCGCGCCTATTACATCCATTCTTTTGACTCACAGTGTTACCTTACCACACACTGTTATTCAGTTACGTGCAAACCACGCCTTCATCCTGTGTTCAACTTTGCTCTGTGTCCACAAGTGCTCCCGCGTAAAATTGCCCTCGCCATGCTGACTCCCTCTGACGAATGCGTCATGTCAGCTCTGTCTTCGAACGATGCTGGACACTGTAACTACACGCATTCTCCATCTTCGCAAGCAAGCCCGTCTGCTGACGTTAAAAAATGATCGCGTCAGACCTTTTGCCACATCAAGCCGACGCACTCTTTCACGCCTTGAGTCATACTGGGACGTATTTGGCTTTTGTGATCGGTCCGCTAGGTCATACCACTGCTGGAAAGCACCGCATTGACACCGGCGATGCCTCTCCTGTCCATCGACGGTCATACCGCGTATCTCCAACCGAGCGTCACATAATTCAAGCAGAAGTCGACAAAATGCTCGCCAGAGATATAATTGAGCCATCATGTAGTCCATGGGCTTCCCCTGCAGTTCTTGTCAAAAAAAAAAAAAACAACACTTGGCGATTCTGTGTTGACTACTGACATCTGAACAAGATTACTAAAAAGACATCTACCCGCTACCGCGCATAGAGGACGCCCTGGATTGTGTTCACGGCGCTAAGTATTTTCGTCCATTGATAAGGGTACTGGCAAATTGCTGTAGACGACATGGACTGTGAAAAGACCGCTTTTGTCCCGCCCGATGGTCTTTACCAGTTTAAGGTCATGCCCTTCGGGTTATGCAACGCTCCGGCCACCTTCAAGCGGATGATAGACTCTCTTTTGCGTGGGTTCAAATGGTCAATTTGTCTATGTTACCTTGACGACGTTATCGTCTTTTCTCCAACTTTTGAGACCCACCTCGACTGCCTATCCTCAATACTGGCTGTTTTTCGCAATGCCGGTCTCCAACTCAACTCGTCAAAGTGCCACTTCAGACGCCAGCAACTAACCGTGTTGGGCCACCTGTCGACTCCTCTGGTGTACGCCCTGATCCCGATAAAGTGCTAGCCGTGCGGAACTTCCCCATTTCAACCTGCACCAAGGAAGTCCGCACCTTTCTCGGTCTGTGCTCGTACTTCAGACGTTTTGTGAACAACTATGCGGAAGTAGCCCGTCCTCTCACAACTTACTGAGAAAAGATGTCTCATTCACATGGGTGCTGCGCAGGCTACGGCATTCTCTACACTTATTGCATTGCTAACCGAACCACCTGTTCTGGCCCATTTTGACAATGCCCCCCCTACAGAAGTCCGCACCGAAGCCAGTGGCCATGGAATTGGTGCTGTTTTGGTCCAGCATCAAAACGGCTGCGCCCGCTATCGCCTATGCCAGCCGTCTCCTCTCGCAGGCGGAAAGGAACTACTCAATCACCGAAAGGGAATGCCTTTCTCTCGTTTGGGCAGTAGTGAAATTTCAGCCCCATTTACACGGTCGACATTT